ACATCCCCCACCTGTCCCCCAGGTCCAGCAGGACATCCCCCACCTGTCCCCCAGGTCCAGCAGGACGTCCCCCACCTGTCCTCACCTGGGTAGGTTTTAACGTGGTTCATCTTGTTGAAATCTTCAGAGATGAGAAACTCCTGCAGCGAGAATAAAACAACCAAATCAGACCGAACCAACCGACCCCCCCCCAGCAGAGAAGGAGCTCACTCACCACCACCGCCCCGTTGTCCTGGCCTATGAAGATGCGCCTGCTGTCATGATGGTAGGACATGCTGGAACACGGCGCTTGGGGGCAGAAATGATGGCGGGTTAGCGTCCAATGCGGGGCCACTAGGGGTCACATGGCGGCCATACTTACAGGACACTGTGTGGAAGATGCTGGGCCAGTACTGACCGCTGTCCCTTTTCAGCCACACCCGGATGGTTCTGAAGGTATAGAAAAAGAACCAGTTTAACTGACGGCACCTGAAGGGGGCAGGGAACGTGATGCATTCAGGTGCCGATTAACTAACTGCAGCCCTATAGACCAGAACTAGGAGGAACCAGTAGAGATCCGTAGAAAAATAGCTTAGAATAGAAAAGAACAGAAAATCCCTTTAATGACCCTCAATGGGGAAATTCTGGGGTTTTCAGGAGCAAAAACATTGTGTACCTTAGAAAAGTGTTTATTAAAAAACAGCATAAGTGAGTTAATAAAATAAACAAATAAAACACTGGTCTGATTTTACAATATAAATATTGTGCATCTGGAACCAATAAATAATAAACAGCTGAGAACATTTTCCCAGTAAAGATGCTGGCTAGCTGTGGAGGAAGGAGGAGACATTGTCCCCAGTTTGACCATCTGTGTTCCCCACAGGGACAGACAGGGGACAGGTTGGGAGGGCTGCTCCCACCCTCACCTGGTATCAACATGAGGACCAGTAAATAGACCGAGCCCGCTAGCTGCGGCTAGCTGGAGCCTGCCGGGTTTACCTGTCCTCGCTGACCGTGATCACTCCGTCCTCCTTCGGTATCAAAACGGCCGCGTTGACGGTGTCCGAGTGTCCCTCGATCTTGTTGAGGAGGACCGGCCGAGCCGCCTGGGGCCTGGAGTGGATCTCTGCCGCCATGTTTCTCCCAGCGAGCACCAATGTTTTCCTCCAGCAGAGGAGGATCAGCTGACACCCAGAGCCAGAGGATTACCGGAATGAACGCAAGGTGGTGCCAGCGGGAAATACCGAAATTATCGCGAGAACGACCCAGACGAGAACCCGAGAAACAGCTGAGGAGCAAACCTGTAGCAGATGTTTCTGTCTGGCTGCTTCCTGGACAGAAATCTGACCTGCAGCTTCTTATGTTTTACTTCAGAATAAAGATCAAGGCTATTTGTGCATGTCCGTCTGATGACGTCACTATGTGTTGATCTCTAAATGTGAGGATAAACTGTATGTGTGGAAAGCAGCAGAACAAGCAGAGGTGGATCATGCATCATATTTAGCCTTTTATGCTAATTTTAATTTGAACCTCACTGGTCATTTCAGGGAACATGATTCCTTCTATCAGTTAATTAATTAATCAATTGATTGATTACATTTAGCCTTTTATGCTAAGGCTATTTTTACTTTAAACTTTGATGGAACATGATTCCTTCTATCAATTAATTGATTAATCAATTGATTGATTACATTTAGCCTTTTATGCTAAGGCTATTTTTACTTTAAACTTTG